ACTTGATCACCTTTCTTGCAGCTAAAATACTGTATTCTTACACAATAATGGGAACAATAGATTCTTGCAGATCAGTGCAGTTCAATATATCCTTTGGTCCAATTTACATATTAACACCATCTCATTTTAAATATTAAAAAAAGACAGACATTGAATGGCCTAGCAATAGAAAAAGTAGGAATACTAATTTCCTACATGGTAATTGGAACTGATTACCAATCGTTGGAAAAAAAGAGACATAGACTTGCATTTTCACTAAAAACGGACAATCCTATTTTTTCAGTTCCATTTAGAAAGATCTCCACGCAATCGTTTTCAACACTTGTGTTTCATGGCAAGCTGCAGAGAGGAAAAAGAAGAGAACATATTAAGATACTTATTTGCAATTCTAGCCACAGCTCTGATTCTTAGGATTTGAAAATACTGAAAATAGAAAGCAAAATAGAACCGTGTCTGCAGAACTGCAATGAAAATTAAACTTTCTCTTGTTATGGAATATTAAGAGCTGATGTTACTAAAATAAAAGTAAGGCATCTAATTTGGTTTACAGGTAGTCCTCGACTTACAACAGTTCATTTAGTGCCCCAAAGTTACAACAATTGAAAAAAGTGACTTATGACCGTTTTTCACACTTACTACCTTTGTAGCATCTCCATGGTTACGTGATCAAAATTCAGATGCTTGGCAGCTGACTCATATTTATGATGCTTACGGTGTCCCTGGGCCATGTGATCACCTTTTGTAACCTTCTGACGAGCAAAATCAATGGGGAAACCAGATTCACTTAACAAAGTAACATCTGCAGTGATTCACTTAACAACTTTGGCAAGGCAGGTCATAAAATGGAGCAAAATTCACTTAACAAATGTTTCAATTAGCAACATAAGTTTTGGGCTCAATTGTGGTCATAAGTTGAGGACTACCTGTACTCTGTTTGAATGGCAGTTCAAATAAGCTGAAAATTAATTAGGATAAACAAAGAAAGATACATTATTAGTGCTAAACAATACTGAATTATACCAATCTCAAGTGCTGTTTAAAAAAACATTGGCTTCTAAATATTTTACATCCAATTCTAATTTAAAGAAACACTGTACTGAAGCAAGAAAGCGTACATTTTCTTCTCTCCTGTACAAGCACAGAGCTAATGCAAACTACATCTGACTCTATGGTGCAAACTTAGTACAAACCATAGTTTCAAGGTCAGGATGCTTCAGGAATCAGATTGATTAATATAAGAAATAAAGAAGAACGCTTGCAAGAATTAAGTATGTCTAGTTTAATGAAAGGAAGAATTGGGGGGGGACGTGATATCTATGTTCCACTAAGAGTCTGCTATAAAGAAGAGGGGGGCAACCTATTCTCCAAAGCATCTGAAAGCAGAACAAAAAGCAATGGATAGAAGCTAATCAAGGAGAGAACCAACGCAGAACTAAGGAGAATTTTCCTGACAGTTAGAACTGTTAGAAATTAACCAGAGGAATGGCTCGCCTTCAGAAGTTCTGGGTGCTCCAACACTGGAGGTTTTTAAGAAGAGTTTGGACAGCAATTTGTCTGAAATGGTATAGGTCTCCTGTCTGAGCAGGGGTTGGACTAGAAGACCTCCAAGGTCCCTTCCAGTTCTGTTATTGTTATTCTGATTCAATCCTTTGGGTCAAGGAAAGATTAAAAAAACCATTTTGTCATAATCATATTTTTCCAAACTATCCTTTGCAGAATGTTATGAATGCAGTCACCCCAAAGAATCCAAAACACGGACAAATTCTTAGCAAAGTTGCCAGTGTTGAAAGCAGTAGTGAGGGAAATATTAGTGTTCACATATTTTAATATTTGGCCTTGAGAATAGGCCTGGAGTCTTTTCAAAGCAACACTAAAAGATGAAGGGATCCTTCTTATAATTACCAAAGGCTGTGTGTAATACATGTTTCCATATAATTCAGCATTAGCTGTGTTGCCTGATATATGTTTTAAAAAGCAGAATCCTTGTATCAATTCCTGAAACTATCAGAAATCAACCCTTGCATTTACTTGCAGTAGGTGAAGTCAATCCTTTTTTTTGTCTTGTTGGCTCCAATTTCAGGTGTTTTGAGAATGAAACTGGGTCATTTGTAGGCCAAAGAAGAGCCATTTCTATCTACCAGGATGTTTTTCTTTTCTTCTACTTGGAAAATATTTGAAAAACCAGAGTAGATGGCAAGTAAACAGCTGCATCTTTCAATTATCAGTCTCTGTTATATTGTCAAGGGATCGTCTGGCTATTTTAGATCCACACAGCACAGCTTATTCTTGAGAGGTGCCAGGAAATATCTCTCACCGCATCTCCCCTGCTTAACTGCAAAATTAACTTGACATGCAGCCACCTAGTATAAAGCAATCTAAGATCTCATTACAGCATTGAGAGAGCGTGATTAGGAGTCAAGGATGTCTCATAGCATGTTGCCATTTCTTTTGAAGCAAGGCTTTTTAATAGACATAGTATTAAAACAATTACTTACATTCTTTAAAAAAAAATAACATACAATTTCCAGTGTCTTTTTCCAGTATAGGTTTACTTTCAGGCACTTCACAGATAAATATTTCATACCACATACAAGCCAATAATTTGTATAAATAATTGACTTCTGGAACAGTGATTCTGAAGTCATTTTAAAGTGTTCAAAAATAAGCAAGAGCTGGAATAATTAGGGGTTTTTTTTCATCAGAAGCAGGTAGGAGGTAGAATATAATGAAGCATTGGACTACATTTTTTCTTTTCTATATTTTTAAAAATATCATTCAGGTTGTTAGGTATAGAAAAACTCAAAAATAAAATAAAATTATTATTGGAAATGTTCATTAAGCCAAGTAATGTCAATGTCATAATATGCAAACATTTTAATTTCAAGAACTCTTTGCTAGGCACGCACAGACAACAGACAGACAGACAGACACAGAAAAGCACACAAATAGGAAAAAGGCTTGTGTTCAAGCATAGCTAGGTCAGTTATAGTATTACCTACATAAATTTTGGGGATCCCTACCATAAATTTGGGGGAAATCCTAGTTGCAGCTTGACATTTGTATTTGAAGATTATTAATTTTGTCTATAGAATTCTCTAAGGCAGTATAAGATACAGGCACAGCTTGAATCCTGTTCACATTTCTGCTCTAGTTTTCGTGCCAGAAGCCTGATTATTAGTGAGACATCAAGTTGGTCTAAAATGGATTTTTCTTCTTTTTTATATTCTATGATTATAAAATGAACTAGGAAAAATGTAACTCTGTTATTTTAATTATGAATTGTGTCATGTGTCTCAATCTGCATTTCAAAAATGTTCTAAAGTATTTGGAGTTCTTGAATATTTTTCTTCAATACATATCCATAGCTAAATTATAGAAATATAATTATAAGAAGCAAATAGGTGTTTATTTGGAAACAGCAAGCTTGCTTTGTAATGATGTATTTCAGTTGCCAATATACGTATTTTATATCAGTATTATCATCACATGGTGATGAAATTAAAAGATGCTTGCTCTTTGGGAAAAAAGCAATCCTAGACAGATTACTAAAAAGCAGAGACATCACCTTGCTGATGAAAGTCCCTATAGTCAAAGCTAAGGCTTTCCTGGTAGTAATGTATGACTGTGAGAGTTGGATCATAATGAAGGTTAAGCCATGAAGAAATTGATGCTTTTGAATTGTGGTGCTGGAGAAAACTCTTAAGAGGTTCTTGGATTGAAAGGAAATATATCAGTCAATCCTAAAAGAAACCAACCCTGACTGTTCTTTGAAAGGACAGATCTGAAGTTCAAATAATTTGGCCATCAAATGACAAGACAAGACTCACTGATGTTGAGAAGAACAGAAGACAAAAGAGAAGGAGATGGCAGAGGATAAGATGGTTAGATAATGTCATCAACCCAATGAACTATGAATCAGGGAAAACTTTGGGAGACAATGGAGGACAGAGGAGCTTGGTGCTTTATGGTTTATGGGGTCATGAAGAGTCAGATATACAACTTAGCTACTGAACAACCACAACTATTCTTTACTATCTACAGCCTCCCAAGTTTTTTCTACTCCTGTTTTGATTATGATTATTCAAACTATGATATTTGGAGTTACTTAAATATGATTTACATTGCAATTAATATAACTCTGGGAGCATCCAGGGAATAGTACTGACGTGTATTTTGATACATCTGAGCAAAACTATCAAAGAATGTATGCAAGAACAATTGCCTAGTGAAGAAACCAACAATATGGGGAAAAGCTAAGATATGTCAAACATGATTATAGGTTGGAAACAACAAAGTGGATTGGGTTACACTTTGAATCTGTGTTACACTGTACATCACATTTCCATTAATTCAATAGGTTTTTTCTTTATATCTCTCCAGATGAATTCAGAACTCTCCAGACAGCTTTCCACTTTTATGACATTATTTCAAAAAAGGAAGAAGAAAGGGCAAAATAATGTCCCATTCTGGTAACTGAAATTGCTTCTGCTAATGGAAAGATATAGTTGGGTTCTACTCTAAGTGCTCAAGAAGAAATGGGAATAAAGAATGGGAAGAACAAAACTAATGAAACTCATCATTAAACAAATAAACTAGAGAAGATAGTCAGAGATAAGTCTTTTCTTCTCTGAAAGGGTGGCCTTATCATACAGATTATAGCAGATAACTAGACTGAGCTTGAGGAAGGGATCAAATGCATCATCTTGAGTCTCTTCGCACCCACAAGAGAGCCCACTTTGAGTTCCATAGACTCTTTATCTATTGCCAATTTAATTTGCCTGTTAGTAGTTCAGATTCTTGTAGAGAACTTAAGTTTGCAATAAACCTTTGTATTCATTTGAACTGACTGTATTTCCTGATTTCCCCGGCCCTTGACACACGGCAATGAAATATAAAGTATAAGGACATACAGGGCTATAAAGGGAAAACAGACCCATGATCTTGCACTTCAGTAGGATTCAGTTTATTTACTGTATTTTGTGATGCGAATAACCAGTAATTTTAGATGCTTGAAGAATATCAAATGACACACTTTGAAAATTGGCTACTTTTTCATAATGTTAATTCTATTAATAAAATGTTGACATTTGCCAGTGAATGCCAATTCTATCTCTAACCATCTAAACACATGCCATATTGCTTGAGGAGCTGTCATCTCATCATCAATGTTTATGATTCAGACTTGGCTGTAAATATTAAAGATTCAAGAAAAGCACAGCACTTATTTATTGAGGATCTCTTTTATTCTTTACTTCCTCTTTTACCACTTCGTGTGTCGAGAGAGAAATTCCCATCATTGAGGACAGGAAATTTTAATTAATACTATCCAAAGTTATGAAGTTTCATAAGGCCAGTATGCTCTTCAATAATGTCTGTTCTTAGAAACAATTTTATATGCAAGATCAAGGAAAGGAAAAATTGAGTTCTGAGGATATGTTAGAAATATACACGAAAGGAATTAGCAGAGCAGAGTGACTCTTGATGCCTTTGAGAGTTCCTAGAAGACTGGAAGAGAGCAAATATTCTTATTTTAAAAAAGGGAAAGGGGAAAATAGGAAACTATAGATTTGAAGACTACATAAGATCTTTGAACAAGTTATCAAGCAAGAGAAAGAAAAGGCTTGTTGCAAAGAAATTGCACCAGATTAACCTTACCTCCTTCTTTGTTGCTGGCTTAGTAGATCATGAAATTACTCTGGAGATAGTGTATCTGGATCTCAGCAAAGCCTCCAACAGAGCACCTTACCGATACCCTTCTTAGTAAAACTGTAAAATATGGGTTAGATGATACTTGTGTCATTTGACTCAGAGTTAGCTGAATGGACTACCCCCAATGTGCTTGTTAATGCCTTCACTTCAGCTTGGATGGAATTATCAGAGTACCACACGTCCCTGACCTAGGTTCTATACTGTAATATTATAATGAATGATGAAGATAAATGGACAATGCCAATGGCACAATGCTGGAAGAGATAGTTAATACTTTACTACACAAAGTAAAAATACAAACCAATCTACACAGGTTTGAACAGTGGGTTGGAATGAATTAGGATGAAATTTACACAACATATAATTCAACTTTGGAATTTAGTACTATAAGATGCACACTCACTACCAGATTGGCCGGCTTCAAAAATGAGTTGGATCTATTCATGGAAATCAATGTTATTAGCCCTGATGGAAGTGTGATGGCCTCTGTGAGGAGACTGTTGGGTACTTTTGTGCAGGTTGGCTACTGTGAACACAGACAGCTGGACCAAATTGGCCAGGGATCCAATCCAGCAGAGGGCGCTGCTTATATTCTTAAAGGTAGAAATGCAATGTTATATATCAGAGTGAAAAAATGTAAGGCATAAATATAGAATAGGGAAAATCTGGCTTGATAGTAATGTGTCAAAGGACTCTGGGTGTTTGGGGTGGTTGCAAATCAAATATAAGTTGGTAATATGATGCAGCTACTTAAAAATGCTATTAACACTGAGATCATGAGAAGTAATTGTTCCATTTTGCTTTATCATGGTATGACCTCTTGTGAAAATATCTAGCAATAGAAACCTTTCCACCATATGTAGTTGATCCATTGTGTCTAACTCTGCAACCATGGTTCAAAAAGGACAGTGATCAGTTGCAACAAGTTCAGAAGACAGCTACTGTGAATCATAAACCAAGTCCTATGAAGAACAGTTAAAGCATCTACAACATATAGGTTTAAGCTACAGAAATGATGACTGGGGAGAGATATAACAATAGTTTCAAATATCTGAAGAATCATCACACAGAGGAGGCAGTGGACTTCTTCTGTATTGACTCAGATGTCAGGAGTTAAAAGTTAACCAATGAGTTAAAAGTATGAGAGAATAGATTCAAGCTAGCCATCAGAATTGTCCTGCCAACTGTGTATGACGGTAAGGTCTTTATTGCTACAGATTTTCAAACCTATGGAAATAGTCAATTGTGAGAGATGCTTTACTTGATCCTGTACTAGGCATGGGGTTGAAATAGATTTTCATTGAGTTATCTTCCAACTTTATGATTCTATGAAAATAAAATGCAGTGAAATGAAATGCTTGATATTTGTCAGCAGTGTTAGATACATTCTTTATTAATAATATAAGATGCAAGAATTGCTTTAAATAATTCTAATGCCCTATCAGCATTAGATCATGAAAACAGTAGGAAGATGCTATTTTAATTGTTTGTAATCCAAAATAATTATCTTGTAATGGCAACCTCCGGTGCCAAGGATATCCTAAAAGAAGGGGCGATCTAGAATCATAATAAAAGAAATTTTCTTTGATCAGTGGAGTTCCTGGGTTGTAGCTTATAATATTCTACTTGAATGCAGCATAGAAAACAATATAACAATAAGTTAAATGAAGAAAAATGCTATAAAACAGCACCTTAAATCCAGACATATCCATAATTCAAGTTACTCCATAAAAATGTTCTCAATATTTCATAAAGTCTACAAACTGTTCTTGCTATTGCCCCATTCCTTAGGACTCTTATTATTCATTATGAAGCAGTGACTTTTAAAGTGTTCTCTGAGGAATCTCAGGATTATATGAGTGGCTGCTTAAATGACATATAAACAAGAGTGGATAAGTTTTCTTAAAAGAAAGCATGTTCAACAGCAATCAGTTTTCCTTAGAGCAATCAGCTGCTACCCAATGGCTTTCAGGTTAAATTCTCATTTGAAATAGGACAACTTTAAATCCAAGAGCCCATCCATTTTCAGTTGACAACTACATGTAAGAATAGATTCAATGAATCCATAGGCTCAATTGTATTTTGTGTCAAGGTGGAAATTCTTAAAAGCAATTTGATTTGTTATAAAAAATTGAGATGAAACCAGAACTATTTTTATTGGCATTTTAAGACAAAATACCTGCAAAAAACTTCAATGCATTATACTTCATATAATAACGGCGGCCAGAATTACTTTTGCTCAAAATTGGAAAAAAGACAACAGTCCTTCTGATGTAATGATAATAAAAAAGGTTCTTGAATGTTCTTGAATTATAGAATACTATAAGATCTCGAATATATGGTATAAGTGGTTAGAAAAGTTGTTACATGAAGAGTATGTAGGAGCTATAGCAAAATGGGGAAATAGTATGTATGTGTGTGTGTGTGTGTGTGTGTGTGTGTGTATTGTGGCTTTTTTTGTCTTGATTGGCTGGCAACATTGTGTTCCTGTATTGGAGGCTTTTAGTGCAGCTTGGCTCTGAGTAAATGGACAGCTATCATTTATTAGGAAGCTAGGTTTCATCTGGGTGCCTGGTTGGGGTGTGTTTGAGCTGGAGGTATCAGGGGGGATCTGTTTGTGCCCAGGTGTTTGCCTGGCTTGTGGTGTGGAGATTTTTTTGTTTGTGAGTGCAGGCTTCCAAATAATTGACAGTCTGGTGGAATCCTCTCTTCTATTCATGCTTTCAGGTCTTTTTTCAATCTCTATGGCTTCTCTGATAATTGTGTGGCTGGGGTTTTCTATAGTGGCTAGGGTTTTGGTGCCATTGAAGTCGATGCTATGACCTGTTGCTTTCATGTGTTGGACTAGTGAGGAAGTGTCTTCCACTATAATGACGTGGGAAATTACCCGAACCAAGCTGAATACATGTAAGTACCCACGAAAACTTAAGAAAACACACACACACACACACAAACACAAACACACACACACACACACACATACTCTCAATCTTACATGGGAAAAGACCCGAACACGCTAAAACGTGCAAACCTACACCCGTGAAAATCTACGAAAACACACACACACACACACACACACACACACACCTGTAAATACAGTTACAAGTTAAATGTAGAAATAACTATAAAATACATAAAATAGTAATCTATATAATTAGAAACTATGTCAATATGAGTGAATACCGATACCGGAATGCTGTAATGAGTGAAAATGGTGGAAATATGATTAATAAAAATTTACTTTGAAAAAGAAAAGCAATTTGATTTGATGTGGGGCCTTGTCAGCTGATCTTAATACTGAGGGAGCAATATCTAATACAATATTATGTTTCCTTCAGTGCTAATTTAGCTAATAGTTGGACTTTGAACCTGTTACGGCTCTTTTATACATCTGCTTGGCACTCTCCGAAATTATAAGAAAAAATAAAGACAATATTTGAAAATATTTCATATCCATATTAAGTATCTCCTTGCAAGCTGATCTATACCGATAGTATTGTTTTAAGTTAAATGTTATTTGTTTTCATGAGTGTTTATACAACAGAAAAAGAATATATAATAAAAACATAAGTAATACCTTGTGTGCAGTTTCTGCAAACTGCTGAGCACTGTGTTTCATGTCCTCTGTCTTTTCTTCAGTTCGACTTAATCTTTCACCGCGCTCATTCAAAGCCTGGCTTGCTTTCTGTACTGCGCTTGTCACACTGTCTGCTGCTGAATGTAATATGCTGTTTCCTGAAACACATCACACTTGGTTGGAATGGAATGTCTTATTTTCTGAAACATGTAGCGTAGCAAAACCTTTGTGAGAATTATGGATGAAAAATAAAACATTTTTTTTTTACTTCACCTGATGCAAGTGACTTTGTTGGCAGTAATTCTAACAAAGATGTCTTTAAGCTCCAAGGCAAGGGTATCCAACCTTGGTAACATTAAGACCTGTGGACTCTAAAAAAACTTGGCTGGGGAATTCTGGGAGTTGAAGTCCACAGGTTTTTAAATTGCCAAGGTTTGACACTCCTGATCTAGGGAGAAAATATTTGTTTCCCACTCTGTAAAATGAAATCATATTGGCTGACCTCCAAATAAACTAAACTAAACTAAACTAAACTAAACTAAACTAAACTAAACTA